AAGACTGAGTTTCTGTCTTTGAGGAGCTCATGGTCTAAAGAAATCTGAAAGGTAAAAAGCTCATTTCAACAGTGTGATAGTATGATGATGTGTGGCTTCTAGAATAAGCAATGAGAGGCTTACAAAGAAGATTTGAGAAGTCTAAGGTTTCTATTCTGAAATTTAATGCAGGCATTGAAAACAGGCTCCCTTTATAAGTACTATTAGGCTTGACCCTTTGACTGAGCAGTATTTTTCAAACTCCTTTATAGCTATGATTCTACACATGACCTTGGTTCTGCTGAGCAGATCCTCTTGCAGTTCTTGGAGCAAAGTGTGTGGGTGTGAGCATGTTTATAGTCATGATTTTTAGTGGGCACGTGTCCCAGGCATCTAGTTCTTTCTTTTTAAAAAAATTTTATTTATTATTTTTATTTTATGTGTATGCATGTATCACCTGCATGTTGGTAAGTGCACCTGTGTCCTGCAATGCCCGCAAAGGTCAGAAGAGGCTGTTGGATCCCCTGGGACTGGAGTTACAGACAGTTGTTAGCTGCCATGTGGGTGCTGGGATTCAAATCAGGGTCTTCTGCAAGAACAACCAGTGTTCTTAACTGCTGAGCCATCTCTCCAGCCCTGCATCTAGTTCTTTTAAAGTAACCTTTTGGCATAGAGCTCCTACTGGCATAGCTACCAAGTAATTACTGCAATGTTTTGCTGAAATGGTTTACTGTTATAGCTAGGTTTTTGTCCTGAATTATCCTGACTTTGTGGGAGTAAACATCTGGAAAACTTTTTAAAGATTTATTTTACTATTTATGTATTTATTTATTTATTTATTTATTTATTTATTTATTTATATTTGTGTGTGTGTGTGTGCAAGTGCTCTTCACCATAAGCCATCTCTCCGGGCTTCATTTGGAAAGCATATAATTTTCTGGTTTGTAAGTATCATTCTGAAACAGAGTTGAAATGAGGATAAAAGCCTCTTTCATTACAGATTGAGAACGTCTGTTGCACACTGTTTTTGTTCCTGGTTTCAGCAGGTAGGGCAACCTATGATCTCTGTGGAAGTGACAGAAAGATCTTGTGTAATTCTCTTTCGAAATATGTGTACTTCTGTAAGATCTGAGTTATTTCCAGAGAAACACAGAATTGAAAATCATAACACTTTTTTTGTTGTTAAAAACTAAGAATTTATGATTTTATTTTTCATTCTGTCTGTATGTTTGCACAGAGGTGGGGAAGGTATGTATACAGGAGTGAAGGTGCCCAAGAAGGTCAGAAGAGGTTGTCAGATCCCCTGGGGCTGGAGTTACGGATGGTTGTGAGCTGCTTATGTGGGTGCTGGGAACTGAACTTGGGTCCTCTGCAAGAGCTGCAAGTGTTCTTAACCATGGAGTCATCTCTCCAGCCCCCATGTGTTCTTGTTTTTTTGTAACAAGGATGAGTTGCAAGTCACAAGTCTGTCTAAATATTAGTGTACCTCTGAGCCCAAACCATGTCATTGGTTTCTTTGCTGTGAACTCTACTTTCTCAGGTTGGGCTAATACGTTAGTGAATCTGGGACAGGAATAATGTACGCTGTGCCAAACTATAATCACATGAAGGTGCAGGATAAAGTATAGTTTAACTGAGATTGCATTGCATGGCATATGCATACTCTAAAAAGCACAGCAAAGGACAATAGTATTGTTCGCAAACATAAAAGCAATGTGCTTTTGCTGCAAATATGAAGTCTTTCTCTAGGAGAATTCTACTCTGGAAATTCTTAGATTTCTATGTATAAATTATTGCCTGTGGGGCTGGAGAGATGGCTCAGTGGTTAAGAACACTGGCTGCTCTTGCAGAGCACATGGGTTTGGTTCCCAGGACCCACATGGTGGCTATCCATGACTCCACTTCCAGGCTGAGCTGACACCCTCTTCTGGATTCTGCAGACATTGCATGCATGTGGTGCCCTTATATACATGCAGGCAAAACATGCATACAACATAAAATAAAAACATAAAGATAAAATCTTACCCTTGTGGAAACAAGGGTATTTCATTTATTTTATGTAGTTATTTATGTATGTGTGTGTGTGTTTATGTACATGCACACAGGTGCCACATGTCCTATCAAATATGACTTCTCAGTAGAGTTCATTTCACATTGGATACTTTCATTGATTTGGCATTGTCTCTGTCAGAGATGCAGGGGACTGGATAGCAGAATCCCTCCAAGGGCCCTTAGCTGCTCCTTCTGAACGTGGCAGTTTCTTGATGTCGTGTAATTCAGTACTGGCGTCCTCATGTTTTTCCTGCTGTGCATCTTTGTTTTTTTTTTTTTGACTATCCACTTTAGGCTCCAAATCAGGACTAGAAACCACTGGATGTTTGTTGCATCTCAGTCAACCTCAAACAGAACTGGGTTGCTTTATCTGAGCTTCTGAGCTGCTGGCCGGGTGAGTCAAGGGCAGTGGCTCTCCAGGAGCCTGGCTATTTCCCCAGCTGTTGGATAGGCATATCCTCTAAAAAAAACCAGCAACAGCTGGAGATCTGAACTCTGAGAGACTCCATAGGCATAGGGGGAGACAGTCACCCCTAGCATCCAATCGGTCAGCTTCAATTGCATGAAGCGGGGAGGGTCTAAGGACAGATCCTGAGGAAGCTGGGAAGCAGCAGGAAGTTGCCATCTTGGTGGGGCACTGGCGGTGGATCTCAAAAAGCTCAGTTGAGATGTAAGGGAACACGTCCGTGGGTGTATGCCTTTGTAAGTAACTCTCTTCTGGACATTATAAATGTTATACAAAAACCTGAATAGGATGTATTTTGTCGGTTTTGTTGGTTGGTCATAAAGACAGTGTAGGCCTGGGAGCTGAGAGAGCACGAGTGGGTCTCCCAGAAGAAAGTTTGGCATTACACTAGCACTGAGGTTCTTCTGGGTGCTGAGCTGCAGGCTTTATCTTCGTGCTGGATGACAGCTGCCTCTCTTGAAGGAGCTGGCTCTCACCCACAGACTTACACACTTTTGAAATTTATTTATTTTTAATTCATTTAAATGAGTGGTTATGCCTGCATATATGTAAGCGTACACATGTGTGCAATGGCTGCAGAGGCCAGAAGAGGGCAATGGATCCCTTGGAACTGAAGGTGTGGATGGTTATTGGCTGCCGTGTGGGTGCTGGGAGCAAGTGCTCTTAACCACTGAGCCATCTCCCTACCCCTAGACTTGCACACTTGTGACATCATATGATTCTAGCTTTTCCTCAATTGAGCCTCATCTCTGGCTTTGTTGGGAGGTGAGAGGTTGTTCTTTTCTTTGCTGTTCTTTTATTTTGTTGAAATAGGATCTTGCTATATGGCCCTAGCTGGCCTAGAAATTTCTATGTATCCCATCTGACCTCAAACTTGCAGTGATCCTCCTGCCACTGCCTCTAGGTGCTGGGATTGGCAATGTGCACTGCCATGTCTAGCCCACTGCCTCTTCACATAAGTTCAGCTTCATTCCAACACCTGATATTATGATCTTGTCATCTCCTGCACTTGAAGTCAAGGTTCCCACAGAATCCTAACTCTCTGCTCATCTCTGAATGTCATCCCTACTCGCAGGAGGGTTTCAGAACACAGCCTTCACAGGAGCTCTGGGAAAACAGATTGGGCTGGGCCAAGTGCTTTGACACGCCTTGACCATAGGCCAGGCAAAACGAACAGATCTTTTCCTCACAAGTCTTCCAGAATGCTACTGCAGGGGCTCTACTTCCCCTTTCTACCTCACTTACTCTTTCAAGGCAGGGCCTTCAGGGCAGTATGCTTCTAAACAGTGTTATTAGAGGGCCTCATATCTTATCTCCTAAGCCACAGAAGATGAAGCCCTGTGGATTCTTCCAGAGATGTGTTCTGTGTCTGTGTCAGTAGCAACAGATGCTGGTCATGCTGTCCATGTCACAGCTCAGGCCTTGTGAAGAGATACTCTGTGCTGTTTATGTGTTTCAGCCTGCTCAGGACAAGTCTGTGCCTCTTTCTTTTTGTCAAATTAATGTTTTCTTTAGCATAAAGAGAGATAGGTTTCATTGTGACATTTTCATACATAGTAACGTTATACTTTGTTCTTATTTACCCGGCCCCACCATCTCCATTTCTCGATCTCCCCTCTTGTTGGTGTCCTTTCCCCTAAGTGGTTTTCCCTTCTATTTTCATGGTGTATGGTTATTGTCTTTTGTAATTCCTTCTCTCCTCTCTTTAGAACTCTTCTTTCCTTCTCTTGATCTCCTTCATATATATATATAAAATTTTATTTAAATCTACAGTCTGCATATAAAATGAAATGCATGGTATTTGTCTTTCTGAATCTGACTTATTTCACTTGCACAATGATCCCCAATTACATTCATTTTCTTGCAAATATTATTTCATTTTTATTTACATCTAAATAAAATTTCATTGTATTTATCAACTAAACTTTCTTTATCCATTCATCTCTTGGTGACTATCTGGTTGGAACCTTGTCTTGGCTGTTATGAACAATGCATCAATAAACACAGATGTGCAAGCATCTCTTTGGTATGCTTTGCATATACAACCAAGGGTTATATAGCTGGATCATATAGCAGTTCTAGTGTTAGTTCTTTGAGGAACTTCCATAATGTTTTCCATAGTGGCTGTGCCAGCTTACGTTCCCACCAGTAGTGTATAAACAGTTTCATTTCTCCACATCTCTGCAGCATTTGTTGTCCTGATACACTAGTTAGCTTTCTGTGCTGTGATAATTAGGAATGACCAGTGATATGTGACTACTGAGCACTTTCAATGTAGCTGGTCTCCTGTGCTATGTAAACTATAAACTACTTTTAGATTTATCATGGAAAATGTTCAATTAATGATTCCATACATATTTATTGAAAAGTTTATATGGAGAACATATATAAATACATACATGTATTAGAAGTATAGGACATATACTGCATCTAGTATTAGTTATTTTTCTGTTGCTGTGACAAAACACCATGACCAAGGCAGCTTATAGAAGGAAGAGTTTATTTCAGCTTACAGTTCCAGAGGGAGAATTCATAACAGCAGCGAGGCGCGGCGGCAGAGCAGGCAGGAGCAGACAGCTGAGTGCCCACATCTTCAGGCATGTGCAGGGAGTGGAGAGAGCAAACTGCAAGTGGACAAAGATATGAACCCTCAAAGCCCTCCCCCAGTGATATGTTTCCTCCCGCAAGGAAACTTCTAGGGATCTCATGACTGCTCCAAACAGCATCACTAACTGGTGACCACATACCAAGTATCCAAATACTTGAACCTATGGGGGACACTTTCTCATTCAAACCACAATACATTATATATAATGCTATAATATACATGGGGAAAGTCACGCATCACTTAATGAAAGGGCTATCCTATGATATCCAATGAGAGACAGTGGGTGCTTAGAGATACTGGTTACCTCAACTGGGAAAAAGCAGTGTAGGAACTGAACATTTGCCTGTGCCCTTTAGGTCACTGCAATGACGTGTGTTACATATCTACATTGCTAAGTGGACAAGCCAAGGCAAAGCCTCTGTTTTCAGATCAGTAACCCACCCCCATGCAGTGGGTGAGGTCCACCTTTGAGGTTCTGTATGTGAACAGCCATGTTACCTTTGTCCTGTTCTCTGTGGGGGCCTTTGTCAGCTTTTCAGCAACAGTAGTTGGTGCTTCCACAAAGAGGAACAGGAGAGGTAGAAATACATACCAGACTCTAAAAACTTTTAACTTTTATTCCTACCTAATATTTAGCATATTTTATGAAAAACTTTTTTAGTTAAGCATTTATGAGACAAGCTACTTAAAATATAATTGAGAGTATTTTTAAAAAATTCTCTCATGTGTATAGAAGAGGAAAGAACCAGTAAACAAAACAAGGACACAAATGAATTAGGAACAAAAATCACAAGTTCTACATAGTAAATTCCCTCCTTCTCTTTTCCAGGTTCAAGCTCTTTGGGACAGCTGTGGGTCATGGCTCTGGAGTTCAGGATCATCACGCTGTCATGAACACATATGTCACTGACGAGGTGGAGGTAGGAGGATCAGAAGTTCAAGGTCATCTTCTGCTACATAGTGGAGTTTGGAGTCAGTATGGGAAACATGAGATTCTGTCTTAATAAAAAATAGCCCAAGAATACCCATGTGGCTCATGGAAGAAAATCTATGTTCCAGGAAGGACAGTAAGGCTATGTGTTTTACTGAGTCGTTGTCTCAGGAAAATGCAGGTTTTCGGGACACTTGAGGTTGGTGTCTAAATGGAGACTGAATCTGTGTCATCCGAGGCTAAAAACAGGTACTCTCCTGGTCCGAGCTGTTCAGTTGCAGGTATTCCAGAGTGCCTTTCTTATAACTGGCTACTCGTGTTGGTTTCCGGCTTTTTATCCCTGAGGCCTGTCTTTTCTGCAAAGCGCTGACAATCATGTCTGAAAATTCAGCTTGTAGACGCTGTTGGTTCTCCCTGGAAAGAGTGGGGAGGGAAAACAACTTGTCAGCAATCCACACGGAGTATTCCTCAGCCCCAGACCATCAATCCGATTCCACCTTTACACATTAGATGTCTATTTTGTGTCGCACACAGGAAGTACAGAGAGTTCAAAATGATCTTTGCCTTTGATGGACCCCAAGAACCATCTTCCCTGCCATGTGGAGCTATAGAATAACCGGAATATATCGCAGGCAGGAAGTGGAAAGCTATTTTGACAAGAAACTAGTATTGGGGAGCATGGTCAGAGGATCCATTGAAGTCGGGGTTGAGAAACAAAGCTGAGCCTCTAACACACAATCCTAAAAATGTGTTGGCCCTTCACATAGCAAGGGGTGTGGGTATGAGAGGAGGGCTCAGCATGGTAGAAGGTTTCCAAAGTTTACAATGGACCTGGGCAGTCCTAGAATGAAACCAGGCTTCTTGTGCCCAGAGAAGTCTGGGTGGTCTTAGCAGCTCTAGTAGCTTGCTGTCTGTTTGTCTGGCCTCTAGGCCTCTGCATGAGAAAGTCTCTCCTTCAGCAAAAGCCATCCCAATATCACATGACTGATGGCCAGATAGATTGTCAATGAAAGAGACACCAACTTGAGGAACCATCAGGAGACCTGAAGCCTGCCAGATAGACATGATATGTCATTCTCTGACCTTAGGGAGAACACAGAATCCATGTTAAGACCTGGAACCACAGCCCTGAGGCAAGGGAAGTGTGTCGTCTTTAGTGCAGAAAAGAGGAAACAGGAGGGGGAGTGCAGAATGCCTTTTGCTTACAGCGTGCTTTCTCTTCTTATAAGAATCAAACATGCTTGACCTGAGCTCCACACTGCCTTCTGTTCTCCTGAGCAAACCCAGAACACAACTCTAGCTTTCCCATTTGGTCAGCATTTTGGCAAGCACAAGATGATTGTTGGTGCATTCTAGGAAAATGGGCAGGAGAGGCAGACGTCCATATGGACTTGATAATGTTCATCATCTATCTATCATCTATATATCTATCTGTCTGTCTGTCTATCATCTGTCTATCTTCTATCTGTCATCTATCATCTATCTGTCATCTATCATCTATCGATCATGTATCTATATATTATCTATCTATGTATCTATCTAGCTATCATCTATCTTCTATCTATCATCTATTGATCATCTATCATCTAGTTATCTTCTATCATCTATCATCTATCAATTATATATCTATATATCATCTATCAATCTGTCATCTAGCTATCTATCTACCCATCCACCCATCCATTCATCTATCTGTCATCTGTCAATCTATCTATCTATGCTTTTTTTTTGAGACTGGGTCTCACTATATTAACCAAGCTGGCCTCAAACTCACAGAGATCTGCCTGCTTCTGCCTGCTAAGTGATGTTATTAAAGGCATGCACTGGTGAGTTAAGTATATTTTAATGAAGATAAGCTGTGTAAAATATAAGTAGGTGAGGTTGGTAGCACAAGACTATAAACTCAGTACTTGGGAGGCTGAGACTTGAGGACTAAGTACTTGAGGCCAACCTGGGCTACATAGTGATATCAGTCTCTCTCAGTTTCTCAGTCTCTTTCTCTCTTTCCATATATGTGTGTCTATATGTACTCATGTGTGTATGTATGTACTCCATTTAAACCACCCATCCATCATCCATCCGTCCCTCTCTATAATCTCTATCATTGGGAGAACATCCATCATCCAGTATGCATCCATCATCTATCTATCTCTATAATCTCTATCATTAGAACACCCTTCAGCCACATCCATCCATCCATCCATCCATCCATCCATCCATCTTTATGATCTCTCTCATTGGGAGAACTGAGAAATCATCTCTTCTGAGCATAGAAGGAAAAGGAGCCAGTAAGATAAACATGAAACCAAAAATTAATAAAATAGGAACATCTCTTGGCCTTCTGAGTGTGCTCCCTCCTCTTGGGTGGAGCCTCCCTGGGACTCTTGGACAAGAATACACAGTAGTGACCTCCCGAGAGCTCACAGCTGACCATTGAAAGAAAGTCAATGTTCCAGATAGTGCAGCGAAGGCAACCTGTTTTCTTTATCATTGAGTCCCAGGAAAATGTAGGCACTCAGGACAGGACACTCAGTCTCATTAGCTGGAGAAAGAAAGGTTCTAGACCTCCTCCTGTGTTTAGTTCTTACCTTATCTTCCCTATCACTCTTCAGGCACTTGCTGAGCCAGTTAAATAGCTAAAGGTGGCACAATGTACCAACCCAGGGCCTCTCCCCTCCCCCCTGCCAAAAAACTTACACAGTTGGTGGGGTTGGTAGGTTGTATTTCTCGTCCTTCATTCCAGTCAGCCAGTATGTGGTCTCTGTCCCTCTTCCCTAGTGAGACAGAGAGGAAGGTCTCATGAGGGCCAGTAAGGCAGTGCCACTCTCTCCCACTGTTCCTACAACGATGTGTTCCAAGAGGCAAGTCACCCCACCTTTCCAGCCAGTGCCTACGTATAAGCACATCACACAACCCTTTTGGGTTTGAGGTATCACTAGACAAACTTTCATTTCCAAGTACCTTTTAATAAATAGGCCTCTCAACCAGGCATGGTGGCTCACATCTGTAATCCCAACAGCTGGGGAGTAGAAACAGGAGGATCAAGTCTTGCCATCCTCAGCTACGTAATGGGTTCAAGGCCAGCCTGTGCTACATGAGACACTGTCCTAAAATTTTTTTAGAAAAAAATTTAAAAGAAGTCTCCCACCAGGTTAGCTCTTTCTCTTTTCTTTCTTTCTTTCTTTCTTTCTTTCTTTCTCTTTCTTTCTTTCTTTCTTTCTTCTTTTTTTTTTTGCGAGACAGAGTCTCACATTGTAATACAGGCTGGCGTAGAACTATGTAACCCAAGCTGCCTCAAACACATGGTAGTTCTCATGCTTCAGCCTCCCAAGTACTGGGATTATAGGCATGACCCACCACGCTCAGCCAGATAGACTCCTTTCAAAATAGTTTTCTTTTTTTACCAGGAGATATTTCAAAATAGCTGTATAGCAACATTTTAAGAACTCTAATTTAGAAAGGAAGAAATTCAAAGATGGCTCAGTTGGAATGGGCTTGCTGTGAAAGCATAAGGACCTGGGTTTGGCGCCCAGAACCTGTGTAAAAAGCCAGGTGCCTCAACGAACGTCTATCCCAGCACTGGGGGCAGAGACAGGTGGATCCCTGGAGCTTGCTGATCAGGAATAAATCCATCAACAATTCTGCTATGCCAAGAAATGTAACCAATTTCTATTTTTTTAATGTTTTATTTATTATTTTTATTTTATGCATATGAGTGTTATGCCTACACGTAGGTAAGTGCATCCATGTCATGCAATGGCCACAGAGGACAGAAGAGGCTGTCAGATCCCCTGGAACTGGAGTTACGGACAGTTGTTAGCTGCCATGTGGATGCTGGGATTTGAACCCGGGTCTTCTGCAAGAACAGTCAGTGTTCTTAACCGCTGAGCCATCTCTCCAGCCCCCCCAATTTCTATTTTTAAAATGTTTGATGACATTTGTTTGTGTGTGTGCGTCTATGTGTGTATGTGTGTACTCGAGTGCCATGGCACATGTGTGGAGGTGTCATGGTGCACCTGTGGAGGTCAGAGGACAATTATTGGGTCTTGGGGATCAAACCTAGGTCCTCAGGCTTGGCAGCAAGTGCGTCCGCCCAGTGACCCACCTCACTGGCTTTGTGTTCTTTTAACATTTTCCAACAATTTTTGGGACAACGTGGTTACCACAGCTTCACTACCTTAAGTGTATAATTGCAAACACATCTGCCTCACAACAAACACCCTACTGAACTGCCATTCGTTTGGTTCCTGGTAGGGGCTGTGAAATAAATGGAAATTCACTGGACACTGGATTTTTGCTAAAGTTTGTATTTGAGAAGGAGATTAAACGGTAATATATGAAATTAGCATACATATATTTTAAAGTAATTTTAAAGACTATCTATGGCTTTGAAGAGGAATTAATGCTCTTGGGTAGAAAATGTATTTGTAGAAGTCTCAAAAAGTGAGTGGGATATTAGGACATTTTTACTTAAAAGAGGCTTTTCCAAGTTGCAACCAAAATGTACAAGCCAGAGCATTTATAGCTCCTGGAGGCAGAAAATTTTATCGTCAGTTGCTGGTTTCAGACCAAATGTGAAAAAAATTGCAGTGACTCAAGGTCCTGGGAACAGTTAGTTGGTGCTTCAGAGTTGGTGTTAAATGTGGGGATCATGGCTGGGGAGGTGGCGCATCAGTTAAAGTGCTTGCTGTGCAAGCAAGGGACCAGAGATAAGATCCCCAGAACCCACATAAATTCCAGCCTCAGAAGGTGGAGGTGGGGATCCCCAGGGTAAGCTGGCTGATGAGCCTAGCCATATGTGCCGACTCTAGATTTGATTGAGAGACCCTGCCTCAAAGGAAAAGGTGGAAGAGTAATCAAGGCAGATTCAGACATCAACCCCAGGTCTCCATATGCACATGTATACACATGCATGTGCACTGGCACACACATGTGCCCATGTGCATGCATACCACTCACAAGAAAAAAAGACCCAAGTCTTAGAATGGAGACCCTACATCGGTGATGCTCAGACATTAGAGTGACCACAAACACCAGAATGCCTGTCAAAAGTACAGGTGCCTGGTCTAGTCCCTCAGAGTCTTGGGAGGCCTAGCAGGATGTCCAGACTTCTGCAGTTTATCATGTACACGGCAGTGAGGAGCATGGTGGCACACCCTGCAATTTGCTGTTCCAAAGCTGAAGACTAATGAAAACAACTGGCAAGAAAGCTGCCCTCCGAGGTGAGCAGACAGACTGACTGAATTCTTAGGTTGGGATGAGGAACTGGGACTGGACTGTGAATACATGTGGAAGAAATGGATCTAGGGACTGGAGAGACGCCTCAGTGGTTAAGAACACTGGCTGCTCTTGTAGAAGAGCTAGGTTCGGGTCCCGGCACTCACATGGTGCCTAACAACCATCTGTAATCCCATTTCCAGGGGATCCAACACCCTCTGGGTGCACCTGACATACAGGCATACACATGAAATAAGAATAAATAAATCAAAGGGGCTAGAAAGATGGCTCAGTGGTTAAGAGCACTGGCTGCTCTTGCAGAGGACTCAGCACCCACATAGTGGCTAACAACTGTCCATAACTCCAGTTCCAGGGAGTCAGATGCCCTCTTCTGGTTTCTGTGGGCACTGCACATACATGGTACACATACATACATGCAGGTAATATACTCATACACATAAAAATAATAAATTTTTTTAAAAGGAAAAAGAAATGGTTCTATAGCATAATTGGTCATAGCCCAGAATATATAAAGGGCTTTTTGAAAGTTCTGAGTTCACATGCATGGGCAGAAAGATAGTGGGGATCACTTCAGGGAGGACAGAAAAGGATTCCTAAGCTTCATCTTCTTCAACCCACATGTGTCTCTGGGTTCCTTACCTTTAGGTATGTTTCTCCCCTCACTTCATACAGGAACTGGCACTCAGTTCTCTTCAGGATGGCTATGGTAGAACTGCTCATGTGAATTCGCAAGGCTGGAAACACAAACCAGATCAATGAAAATCTCTTCCATGCTGAACTATGGTGTGGTCACATTTGTTTCTTTTTGATTGGGGACAGCAACAACACCTGAAGCAACTATTCTAAGTCGAGAAGCGTCTGTTTTAGTCCATGGGCCTTTAAAAATATCATACTAGCACACACGGGAAGGAAGATTCTGGTAGTTTTCAGTCTCCTGAGCATTGGCTCTCCCCCAGGTTTTGTCCACTAATTCTCATTCCAGATCCAAGTAGACCTGGAGCTGGGTTAGACCTGGGACCTGGTTTTAGATCCAGCTTCTAGTAGTGCCTGGGGTGGCGGTTTGGCTGAGGGATTGTCTGCACAAAGTTACAGTAAATAGCTAACATGCTGTGGGCAAGGTGAAGATTTGGGGTCTTGATTTCCTCAAATTTTCTTCTGGAACACATTTATCCTTCTGAAAAACAAATGATGAAGGACTCTCATCCATAGGTCCACTGTTGGGTGCCACCTTTTTCACTGTGGGTGACCAGTAGCCACACACAAACAGTAATGATTGGAATTATGGCAACCCCAAACTGAACACCTACTACATACAAAAGGATCGCCAAGTACTTAACACAGTCTCTCCAGAAACCTTCCTGTCAAGGCTGATGTCTCATTTCAGTTTACATGTTCATCTTTTTGAGGCCTTGAAAAATCAAGTAACTCTCTCCCCAACATGTGCAGACGGTGATACACTAGTTATGATTTCAACTCAAGTCTGCCTGACACCATACCATGATTTTGTTGTGCATGCTAACATCAGATTGTCAGTCAACTACCAAAATGCCATCCTGCCTCCTGTGTTTTGATAGCTTTTTACAGTCTGTCTACCAGTGCTTTTCTTTGCTCTACATTTAAAAAGAAACATATTTATTTTTATTTTATGTGTATGACTATATTGCCTGCATGTATGTAAGTGCACTGTGTTGTGCAGTGTCCCTGGAGGTCAGAAGAGTGTGTCAGATCCCCTGGAACTGAAGTTATGGACAGTTGTCAGCCACCATGTGGGTGCTAAGAATTGGACCCAGGTACTCTGCAAGAGCAGCCTGTGCTCTTAACTGCTGAGCCTTCTCTCCAGCCCACTCTACATTTTCATTATTATCACTATCATTGATACCAACTGAGCATCTACTGCATGGTGCCTTGATTTTGTCGGGCCCATGCAATATTTGCCTTAGAGAAACCAGTCTATATGCCATTGCATATCAACAAATTCCTAAATTTTCTTCTTCATTGAAATCGATTCAAAAAAAAAGCTGGGCATGATGGCAAGCGTCTTTAATCCCAGCACTTGGGAGAGGCAGGTGGATCTCTTTGAGATTGAGGCCAGCCTAGCCTATATAGTGAGTACTGGCCAACTGGGGCTACAAAGAGACCCTGTCTCAAAAGACAAAAATACAACACCAAAAAAAAAAAAAAATAGGAATTGAAACCATGGAACCATGGTGTCTGGTCCACATCTAGTCCATTGGAATCTATATATATGTAATCTTAAATAGATCAATGCTGCATTTCATGACTGTCCCACACAGAACATGTCTGAATTCATTGCACGTGACCCAAAATATAGAACCAGTCTAAAACCGAGGGGAAAAAAGACTAAAATAATTAGCAGTAAACACAATGAAACCCAAGTTCAGCAGATATGAAGGATCAGTCTGCATCTCAAAGGCACTTTGTATCTCTGTAATGCACACGAAATCCTACAATGGCCACTGCTGGAGGATAGAATCTTTGTCCTCTAAGAAAAAGTGATCTCCCTTCTTACGGAGGCCAGTGGATTCCATCCTCGAGGCAGTGTTGACAGTGTCTCCAAACAGGCAATAACGAGGCATCTTGATTCCCACAACCCCAGCAGCACAGGGACCTGAAACAAAGGAAGAGAAGGCGGTGTGCATTGAAGAGTGGAACTGAGACAGGCGAACTTCTTCCCAGGGTCAGGAGGCCAAATACACCACGGCACGGAGACATGCCTAGCATGTTATCTGAGCTGTGACGTTTGCTTTAAATGGATGCATCAAATTCCTTTCGTGAACGCATGCTTCCAGAGATCCAGGTCTCAAAAAGCGCCAACATTTTAAAATAAAAGGCTCTCAAGAAGGGCGAAGGCAATCTCGCAGCTCGTTGACTGTACCAAAGCACACAGCCCTGAACTCCGACTGCCAGAGGAAACCACAGTCTTGAAGGCACAAACCAGAGCCTGGGTTTGCTCTGTATTTATTTTAGGGTGGCAATTCAGGGATTGGTGGCACTGTGATGGAACATCCAGAAGACAAAGACTTGGCATGGCCTTCTGTAAGCATCCTGGGCCACACAAACGCTGCAGGAGGGGTATCAGTGACACACGACATTCTAACAAACATAAAAAAAATCAAGACATCGGGTGCAGCGGTGCATGCCCCAGGACTCCGGAGGCAGAGGCAGGTGGCTCTCTGTGAGTTCAAGGCCTGCTTGGTCTACACAGTGAGTTCCAGGTCAGCTGGGGCTACAAGGAGACCCTGTCTCATCTTAAAAAACACCAAAAACAACAGCAACAACAAAAAAAAAACCATGAGTGTGCATCATGGTATCTTGGGTAAGCTCTGTGGAATGCCGGCTTCCAAGCATAACAGCTAAACTCTTAATCAAAGCAGCGGTGATGACCTGAAACAGACCCCTCAACAAGACTAAGCCCGGAGACACTCCTTCATGAAAAGAGGGTCACTGGACCCTCACCTGAGATTCCAGTCACCCCCTCTCTCCTTTGTCCCCCTCCCAACTGTAATTCTGACTCAGTTGCATGTGATCTGGGGAGGTGCCACAGTGTATATAAGGAAGATTACTGAAGGGGGGACTCCATCTGTGCAGCTACGGGCAGCCATCAACCATGGGACTATGGGGTGATGTGGCTATTTTGGGGTCAGCCACTCTCTGGTAAGTAAGCCCAGTAAGCTCACTCTCACCAAGCTAGACTTGGATGGAATTGTTTCTTTGGTCTGTCACTGGCATGCTATTTGGGGCAAGTAGATCTTTGTTCATGGAGCCTCAGGAAAAGTTAATATGACCATAGGAAACCAAGGTCATTCCATCTGGATCTACATGGGATGAGTGAATGCGGAGTTAACCATGACCACAGAAACTGGAAAACCGGGATTCAGGTAGAAGCAATTACTAGTTTTCTAGTTGACTTGTTTTGAATCCAAGTGAAAAAGAATTTTTGCTACAGGGTCTCACCATGTAGCCCTGGTTGGCCTAGAACTTGTGATCCTTCTTCCTCAGCCTCCTGAGTAGCTGAGGTTATAGGCCTATGCCACCAGGCCCATCTCAAAGGCAGCCTGTTTTAAATTTTTATTTTATTTTTAAATTTCATGTGTATATTTTGCCCACATGTATGCAAATGTACCATGTGTGTGTAATGCCTGTGGAGGCCAGAAGAGGGGTTTGGAGTCCCCTGAACTGACATTAGGACAGTTGTTAGCTGCCACGTGGATGCTGGGAACCAAACCTGGGTGCTCTAGAAGAACAGTCAGTGCTCTTAACCACTGAACCATCTCCCCAGCCCCCAGAGGTGGCTTCTCAGTCTGCCCTCTGAACTTTCAATCACACCAGGATGCATATAACACCATTTTATTTGCAAGTGAGTAAGGCTGGGGAGGACCTGAAGCAGAGAAGTTCTTGTGTGCCTTGCTTTCCATCATCCATGCCAACTTTGTAACCCCTGGACAGGCCTGAGCACCTCTAGGTCCACAGGTCTCACAGCCGCTCTCTTGCCAACACAGGGCAGCCAACTGAGTCATGAGGGAAAGACTGGGCAGAGGGAGACCCAAGCCTCCACTCTCTCTGACTGTTTGGTCAGTCCTACAGCCATTTCTTCCTCCAAGGCCTGGAAACTTCTCATGGGCCAGAAAATAGCATGTTGCTTCTGTGGCCTATGATGCTAGGAAGTTCCTTCATGTTTGTCTGGAAATGTTGGTAACAGCTGGCTGTGGACCTCATTGGGGGAGACCACAGCTGTGTTCCTGGTTGTCAATGGTACAAGAGCAGTTTTAAACCTCTATTTACTTTATTTACTTTGAGAATCTTGCTAATTCATTGCTCAATCAGCAAATATTTACTGTGTGGCTCTGTGCCCAGCAAAACAAATTGTCTGCTCTTTGCCACAAAATGGGTAATCTTTTCTGTACTCTGGGTCTTCTGTAAGTCTTGCAGTATAAAAAAAAAAAAGAATGTCAAGAAATTATAGAGGGATGTGATTTAATGTAAGAAAAACTGTAACAGTTATCACTATTCAATAATGTAGTGAATTGCCTTCCAAAATTATTTTCAAGGAGTGCTGGAATTATACTAAAGATTTATTTATTTCATTTTATGTGTATGAGTGTTTACCTGCATGTATGTATGTATCTATATGCCCCATGCATATGCAGTATCCACAGAAACCAGAAGAGGATGTCAGGTCCCCTGGAATTGGAGTTACAGGTGGTTGTTAGCCACTCTGTGGGTGCTAGGAACTGAACCTGGGTCCTCTGCAATAGCAGCCAGTGCTCTTAACTGCTGAGCCATCTCTCCGGACTGTATAATATCTTTTTAAAAAAAAAGATTTAAGTTTTCAGTTTTAATTATGTGTATATGCATATCTGTATGTGGGTATGTGCACATGAGTGCAGGTGCCCAAGGAAGCCAGAAGAGATCCGCTGGAGTTGGAGTTACAGGTGGCTGTGACCTGCCCAATGTATGTTCTGGGAACCAAGCTCAAATCTTCTGTAAGAGCAGTAAGCACAGGAGTTGGAACCATGAATGGAGAGGTGATAAAGAAGACAGTAGATCTGATGACTTAATAAGTCCAAGCTTGGTGCTTTCATATGTGGTTGTGTTTGTCCATCTAGGAGTCAAAGTGCTGTCTGAGATGTTGCTCTAAGCATTCTCTAGGGACTGGGTCTCAGTGTGTCAGGATGTGTAATGGGACCTCACATTTGGCACACAGAACTGAAGAGGAAATCTCACGTGGAAAACCAACCACATTCAAAGACACTCTGCTTTCTGCTGTAGTTGATTCAGGTTTGCCTCACTCAGTTCCTTACCAGAATGAACTCCAATGCGAATCCACACTGGGAGGCCAGGAAGATGCTCCAGCTCAAAAGTCCCTATGAAGCTGAGGATGTCCAAGGCCATCTTGGAGATGTCTACTGCATGCCGGTTGCCGTTCCTCATGGGCAAACCACTGGCCACCACGTAGGCATCACCTATGGTTTCTACCTGTGGAAATACTTTCTCCTCAATGACACTGCCCCGTGGAAAAAGATGAGATTTAAATAGAAGCCTTCACAGCATGTCAAACACCAATGGGGGTTGGGAACTCAGGCTCAGCACAGTCCTGTATATATTTTTCTGGGCTCAGTTTAACATCAATTCTATGCCAATTTCTCCAGGTTTGTTTTTTAACAGTCTAGTTAACTGGATGATAAAACACTATAAAAGATTTTAAACATATAAGTGCTTCATAATTATATACATTGTGCTGATGTAGTGACAATTCTGTAAATGTTTAGTCTTATTGATCCTGTATAATTTCAGTAATACACTCAATTACCTGAAAAGTCATTTTAGTACTTGTTATTTGCTATATATGATTTTACCAATGATAATTGCAGATTTCTCTAAGGCATAAGACACTCTTGTAGTACTGTGCTCTGTTTATTTTTTAATTTTTAAGACAGTTTTATTATGTGTGTCTGTGTGTGTGTCTGTGTCTGTGTCTGTGCCTGCGTGTAGTCCACTTGTGGGGGACACCCAAGGAGGCCAGAAGTGGATGTCAGAGCTCCTGGAACTGGAGTTACAGGTGGTTAGGAGTCATCTGACATGGGTGCTGGGAACCAAATTCAGATCTTCTCCAAGAGCAGCAAGTGCTGTTAACCACTGAGTCGTCTCTCCAGCTCTATACTGGGCTCTATTTATTTATTTATTTATTTATTTATTTATTTATTTATTTAGATTTATTAATTTTTATTTTATGTGTATGAATGTGCTGCCTGCTTGTATGTAAATGTACCTGTATCATGCAATGCCCATGGAGGTCAGAAGAGGGCATTGAGGGGGCTGGAGAGATGACTCAGCAGTTAAGAACACTGACTGTTCTTGCAGAAGACCTGGGTTTGAATCCCAGCACCCACATGGCAGCTAACAACTGTCCATAACTCCAGTTCCAGAGGATCTGACATCCTCTCCTGTCCTCCGTGGGCATTGCACAACACGAGTGCACTTACCTACATGCAGGCAATATACACATGCACATAAAATAAAAATAATAAATAAAATTTTAAAAAAAAAGAAGAGGGCATTGGATCCCCTGGAACTGAAGTTACAGATGGTTGTTAGCTGCCACATGGGTGCTGGGATTTGAACCTGGATCGTCTGCAGGAACGATCAGTGCTCTTAACCACTGAGCCATCTCTCCAGTGCTGTATTGGGCTCCATTTATTATAACTCCTGAGTCTCTGCTCTTCATTGCAATCACCCTAAACACAGTCCATTGATTTGGAGCTGATGTGAAGGTCTGGCATTTTCTCTTGATTATTAACCAAAATTCTCTTTTCTTTCTTTCTTTCTTTCTTTCTTTCTTTCTTTCTTTCTTTCTTTCTTTCTTTCTTTCTCTCTCTCTCTCACTCTCTCTCTCTTTCTTTCTCTCTCTCTCTTTCTTTTCTTGCTCTAATTTGTTTGCTTTTGTGCTGCTTCTTACAGATAAGTGGTAATTTTGATATTTGATCCTTCCAATTGTTCTGTTTCTCTACCATTTCAGCTTGTATTCAACCACCAGTTCATTAACATTAAAAATGTATTATTTATTTTTATGTGTTTGTGTGTGTCTGTGTGACTGTATGCCACATGTGTGTGAGTGCCCTTGGAGTCAGAGCTCCTGGTGCTGGAGTAAGAGACAGTCATAAGCTGCTCGATGTGGGTGCTGGGAACTTGGGAAATGAACTTGGGTCTTTTGGAAGAGCAGTATGTCCTTGAACCACTGAGCCATCTGTCCAGTCCCTCATTAAATGTTAATTGAAGATGGCAGGACCAATAACAAGAACAGTCATGCCAGGCTCTCGTGAGCTACCCGACTGTCTTAGCCTGAAGGCACGGCAGTTACCTTGTAGACGTCGTGGTGGTCCACAATCTGATCAAAACTCTTGTAGATGTCATTCAGCATGTCCACCACTTCCATGGGGGTGCTATACTTGCAGATGGTGGTGAAACCCACGATGTCACTGAAATAGATTGTGACTTCCTCATAGAGTTCTGGCTCCACAATGCCTTTTTCCTTCAGAGACTTTACCACTAGCCTAGGTGCCAGATAAAAAAAAAAAAAAAAAAAAAAAAAACCTTTAACTTCTGTAGATCTTTCTTGTCTTGCATAAACATTTCATGTTGTAGCAACTGTCCAAAAGGAATTTATGGATTTGAGGTTTCTTGTGAATACCAGTGTGAGTCCAGGAAGTAAAAATAGGTTGCATACATTGTATGCACACAGGATTGCAGGTATACACATGTATTCAAATGGGTGAATATAAGTATATTCAGCATTAACTTAGATTACTAATCCTAATATACATAAACTCATATCCTTAAATATAACTCTAGTACTTATACATACTTGCCCACTTTTTGGGCATGTACTAAACCAGAATTTATTTTCTATATTTTGAACCAGATTTGAGTCCTTTAAATATCAAAGTTTGAATAGCCAAAGCAATCCTTATGGAGTAAGAACACAGTTGGAGGCATCACAATACCTGACTTCAAATTATACTACAGAGCTACAGTGATAAAGACAGTCTGGTAGTGGCATAAAAACAGACAGGTAGACCAATGGAACAGAATAAAGAACTCTGACATAAATCAATAACACTGTGCCCACCTAATTCTTGATAAAGGGGGCAAAAACATACATTGGAAAAGATAACCTATTCAATAAATGGTGTTTGGCAAAACTGGATTTCCACCACAGAAGAATGAAATTAGGTTCACAAATTTCACCTTGTACAAAAATAAATTTAAAATGAATGAAAGGTCTTAATTTAAAACCTAAAATCCTGCCAGGCATGGTGGTACATGCCTTTAATCCCAGCACTCGGGAAGCAGAGGCAGAGGCAGGCCGATCTCTAAGTTCAAGGCCAGCCTCTACATAGCGAGTTCCAGGCCAGCTGGGGCTACAGGGAGACCCTGTCTTTCAAAATAAATAAATAAATAAATAAATAAATAAATAAACAAACAAACAAACAAAAACTAAAATCCAGAAACTTTTAGATGAAAATATATGGAATACTCTTCAGGACATTGGGGTAGAGAAGAACTTTCTGAACTGGACACAGGAACTAGCCCCACACAGCAACAGATGGAAATTAAAAGGTTTCTAAACAGCAAAGGAAACTATCAGCAGAGCAAACAGACAGACCACAGAAAGGGAGGAAATCTTTACCGGCTATACATCAGACAAAGGACTAATATCCAGAACTTACAAAGAACCGCAAAAATTAAATACCAAGGAAAAAAATTACTAAGCAACAAATGGGCCAACAAACTGAACAGATTTCAGAAAAAGAAATACAAATGGCCAACAAGTATTTCAAACAGTGTTCAACATTCCTAGGCATTAGGGAAATGCAGATTAAAATGACTTTGAGATACCATCTTAGCCTAGTCAGAATGGCTATTATCAAGAAATCTGATCGCGGCTGGCGGAAACATAAATTAGTGCAGCCAGTATGGAAATCAGTTTGGAGGTTCCCCAAAAAGTTAAAAATAGAGCTACCATATGACCCAAGTAACTCACTCCTGGGCATGTAGAGATATTTGTACCCTGTGCACCTCGATGCTGCTCTGTTCAGTATAGCAAAGAAATGGAACCAACTTAGTTGTCCATCAAAGGATGAATGAATAGTAAAAGTCTGGTGCATATATAAAATGGAATATTTTCAGCTCTAAAGAAAAATGAAATCACAAAATTCACAGCAAAATGGATGGACTAGAATGTATAATACTGTTAGGTCATCCAGTATCAGAAAGTTAAAGAAAAAACACACATTTTCCCTCATATGTGGATCCCAGCCTATAATGTATGCATGTACATATGCACACAAATGTATGTGTGGGTCTGCTATAACGCTTAGAGTAGAGCAGAAGAAGGGGTAATTTGAAAAGAAATGGAGCACGATTTTCATCTTTTTTTTTCCCGTGGTGAATGTGTGAATTCAACTTTTTACATATTGACATAGGAGGAACTAGTTCTGCATTGCATGAGAGTCCAATAAGTGTTGTCCCTTTTGGGCAGTGATGGTGAGACTTGGGCTTCCTTTTGATTCCATTGACCCATTGGTGCAGTGGGAACTGGGCATGACTGGACACTGAATTCATGTTTCACACTGACCCGCTTGGAAAAAATGATTTTTATTGCTGTTAATGTTTGCTCAGTTTTGTGTTCTTTGCTCGGATGCCTTTTATACGTTGTCATCGACCAGGTGTGGTAGTGCATGCCTTAAATCCCAGCACCCGGGAGGCAGAGGCAGATGGATCTCTGTGAAATCAGCATAGTCTACATAGCAAGTTCCAGGTCAGGTGAGGCCATACGAGACCCTATCTCAAGAGAGATAGAGACAGAGAGTCAGAGAGACAGAGGGATAGACAGACAGAAACAGAGAGATAGAAAGACATAGAGACAGAGACAGAGACACAGAGTTGTCATTGTTGGAAATTCTTAAATAAAATAAAATTCCTAAGTAAAATTTAAATAAAACTGATTTAAATTTTAAAAGGAAGTAAAAACAGGGAATAGAGAGATGGCTGAGTGGTTAAGAGCACTCTGTTCTTGCAGAGGACCCAGGCTTGGTTCCCAGCACCCATATGATGGCTAGCAATTGCCTATAACTCCAGTTCCAAGGGATCTGACACCCTTTCTGGCCTCCACAGGCTCCTATATGCATGTGGTACACATAAACTAACGAAGACAACACACATACATGTAAAAGTAAATATTTTTCAAAGGTGTTTTGGAACCCAAAAGTGGAACAAAGCACCATGTAAACAAATTACAACCATGGCAAGAGATGTCTTAGAGAAGCCACTTAGGACAGTCTTGCCAAAGAGACTGGAGGAGTAACTTCTCAGAGTGAGGATTGCAAGAAAAGCACAGAATGTGTCATGTTTACTGTGTGATGCCACATTACAGCTATGCCTTGATCAAAAGCAGCTTGACTCTTAGCATCAATGTTAAGGCAAAGTGTGGACCTGAACCGCTGATAACCTATTTCTTCTCAATTCTCTTGGAACTATATTCCCCAACAAGGGCTTCCACATTCTTTTATTGAAACAATATCCCTAGCATAAAATGGGGAAGTAAAAGTCAGACCCCTATCTGTTCAAAGAATTTTGCCCTTTTTGATCCCTAGACCTAGCCGAACACACACAATCATAGATATGATCAGTTGAATCCCATCTATTGTTTGCAACACAAAGGTGATACTCTGTCTTCATTGCTCCCAAGGAATGATTGCTGCTTGAAGCATTTTTGATATTCACCACATACACACACCCAAACATATTATTCTAAGTTCAAGGCAAAGAATGGCCACAAGGAAATAAAGTAATGTTTAAGGAACTCAAGGCTCAGTGGAATTGTCCACATTATAAAGAAGCTCAGAAGATTAATTTTGGGCATTCAAAGTTAGGTAAAAGCCATTTGTTCATAGCATATTGTAAAAGTAATTTCTACAAAGATCGACTACATACTTCCTTTACATGCCAAGCTGCCTTTCCATGGAACAAAAGACAGAGGGGCTGACATGAGGTTGGGCACTCTCTGTCTGCCTTTGGAGTCATTTTGAAGGGAAACTGAGTATAGGTAACAGTATAGAACTCCTAGAATCAGAATCTGGAAACTAGGAGGTGCTACAGCAGTCAGTGTGAGTAAATCCCTTATTTTATAGATAGAAAACTAAGGGCTGGAAAGGAAGTGGAACTTGCCTATGATTTCATAGCTCACTATGGACAGAGCTGATACTAGAACACAGCAACATGCCAGCCTGTGAATCACAAGGCTTCTGCAACCCAGGCCTTGGGTGCTCATGGGGAATGAGAAGATTTGGAGGTGTGCAAATGAACTCAGAACGCCCAGGGCTCTTCCAGAAAATCTACACACTATGAGCCACAAGGATCTGCAATACTCATCTGAGAATCTCCAATGGATGGAGAGAGGTCTTCTCAGATGGTAGGGTGCCATAAGTTGGGGACCTTTGCAACCCTCTCTTTGATGTGGCCTGTTAGGCTGTTCTTGACATGATGAGTATGACATGCAGAGGATTGTAGAGGTTATGCGGATGTAATGGTTACTTTGGGTTTTCTGCCATTTTGTCATTTTACTGGAAAATCCATAGGACCTTTTCTCAAAAAAGCTAGTGTTAATAGATTAATGAAAGAAAGACTGTAACTTAACATGGAGAGCTTTGATAAGAGTTGTTGCTGACATGGAATTAGAATACAGAGTAGCTGGTCTTGGTGGTACATGGGAGGCAGAGGCAGGTGGATTTCTGTGAGTTTGAGGCCAGCCTGGTTTCCATAGCGAGTTTCAGGCCAGCTAGGACTACAGGGAGACCTTGTCTCAAAAAGACAAACAACAACAACAAAACCAGAATACAGAGTAGATAGGTTTCCCACAAGAAGAAAAACTGTTTTACTGTGTTTCCCACCCCTAAGTGGCATTCAAGCAAGTGCTGAAAAGATACCTCACTTCTACACACATTCTTAAGTTGACTCTTTTGCTACAAATATTTCTTTTTTGTTCTTCTGGGCAGCATTCATACATATTTTAATTTTATTTTGCAAATATGAAGAGTTTTAACAAAGAAAAAGCCTATTTTGCCAGGGTTATGATAAAGTCTAGCTTTGGCCATCTAGTAAACATATTTACCATCTAGTGGTCAAAGTGGCATCCCGAACCAAGCCTAGGACAAATGTTGATATGCTGAGTCAGTTGTTTCAACCACTAAAGTGAAATTATTGGTAAAACCGTTGGAAGAGGGCCAGGTAACCAAGGTGTTGATTTTTGTCAACGGGGCATTAAAGGCCAGGCAAGGAATTCTGCATTATATACTGAATACTTACGGGGCTTTTCTGAAGTGGATGTGGAAGATTCTAGCATATTTCTAGATGCATCTCAAAGTCTGTGCCTAGGTGCTAGAGGGCTCATGGGTTCCGTAATTAGGCTTTCTCTAGACCCAGTGACTGAACTGGGCATGTGTGTGTCCCCTACCTCTTTTTTCAAGCTTGCAGAGAAGAAATTACTTTATTTAGGAAACGATCTTTGGGCCTCAGTATCTTTTCTGATATGTAAGTGAATCAAGTGCTCAAAGCAAATAATTTGAGTAATATGGAAAAGTCTTAATTTCCACAAATGCTCATACGCAGCGTGGATGTCCCAGGCACAGTTCTGCTTTCTTATATACGGCATAGGGTCTCAGGGAATTCTTAGCGTAATTCTCTACCTTGCAGACTTGGCACATTTATGCCTCTTGCCCAAGATTGCTCCTCAATAGTAATTGTGGGAAGCATGTTTTGAAGTCAGGTCTTGCTGACCTCAGTTTTCATAATTTAACCTAAAGCTGGGCTGCCTACGTTATCCTTGCTCTGACATAGCAGTGTGTCATGCTTTCACGGGACAAGAGCATTGTTGCTCATTTGTACACAGCCCATGGGCCAAGCCGGCACGGCTCAATTCCTTGCTTATCTTAATATTCATCAGCAACTGACATGCACGTCATTGCTTGGAAAACATTAAGCTCTTTTGAGATTTCAATCTCCTTTCTCTTCTGTCATGACTATGGTGTTTCTTCACAAAGCAAAGGTCAAAGTCAGCTCATAGGTGCCTGGGTAGTAAGACATCTGATGAGTTTTCCTTACCTCCTCTACCACTGACAGCACCTACGTCTTATGATGAGGACTCTTCTTGAGGTGTAAAGAAGGAAATCAAAGAAACTAGCACTTAATGCATGAAAGAGTCTTGTAGCTCATACATCCGTAGGCAGGCTTGATTTTCTATTTTGAGATTGAGGACAGACAGACAGCAAACTTTCCTAATGGCCATAGGCCTAATGCAGTGTTGGAACCCGGACTGGTCCCATCCACGTTCCCGAATCACCTCTTTGTTTTAGAAATTCAGAGTACAAATCAGAGGAAGGTTAACAAAGCACAGGCATTTAAAAAATATTTTAAAACTTATTTTAATTTTATATGTACAAGTGTTTTATCTACATATATGTAAGTGTACCACATGTATGCAACGCCCGCAGGGGACAGAGCCTCAGATCCCCTGGGACTGAAGCTAGGGACAGTTGTTAGCTGTCATGTGGGTGCTGGGAACCGAACCCAGGTTTTCTGCAAGAGCAGCCTATGCTCTTAACTCCTGAGCCATCTCTTCAGCCCCTGGCATAGGCATTTTTAAACCCAATAATCTGTTTAAGAGTATCTAAGAGGAAAAAGTCCTTCACAGTTACAAAACAAACAAACAAAACCCAAATCCAGAACAAAAATAGCAACAATGCTAGGCAGGCGTGCTGAAGGCTTCAGAGAGTTGTGAAACCCCACTGTGGGTTAGGGTTAGGGTTAGGGTTGTGAAACCCCACTTCAGGGGAAGTCACACCTGAGGGAGACGGCCTCACCTTGGGAGCAGCATGAAATTAAGCCGGTCAGCCCTGTCCCTCTCTGCCTTGTACAGTTGTGTCCTTTCCTCCACCAGATGCTCCAGGTTTCGCGAATACAGCTGTAACCGGCGGATCAAGGTGTCCATGTAAGATTCATTTTTTTGGTCATGAAAAAGGCTGGAGATAATAAACAAAGAGCTCTTACACATCATTACAAAAACATGAGCACTTAGTACAACAGTGTGAAAATATGAAGAACACAGGGTTAAAGGAAAATGAAAAGGCCCATAAGCCAAAAACCGTTATCACAGGAAAATCAAAGAAATAGAGATTAGAAAAAGGAAAAACAGGTTGTAGAGATGGCTCAGCAGTTAAGAGCACTGGCTGTTCTTGCAGAAGAACTGGGTTCAAATTCCCAGCACCCACATGGTGGTTAACAGCTGTCTGTAACTCTAGTTCCAGGGGATCAAATGCCTTCTTCTGTCCACGGAGGGCACTGCATGACATGCGTGCACTTACACACATGTAGGTGATACACTCATACACATAAAACACAAATTTTTGAAAAAGAGTGCTTTTCTCTCTTGTAGATAACCCACATTCCATTCCCAACACCCATATCAGGTGGTTCACAACTGCCTGTAACTCCAGATCCAGGGTATCTGATGCCCTCTTCTGGCCTCAGTGGGCACTTGTATTTTTTTTAATTGTTATTATTTTTAAATATTTTATTTATTATTTTTATTTTATGTGTATGAGTGTTATGCCTGCATGTAAGTAAGTGCACCCATGTCGCAAAATGCCTGCAGAGGACAGAAGAGGCAGTCGGATCCCCTGGAACTGGAGTTACAGACAGTTGTTGGCTGCACCTGTATTTTTATGCACAAACCCACACACAGACATACAAGTATATACATAATTAAAAAAGAGAGCTGTCAGGATAGTGATAATCAATGTAAAAGAAGGAAGAAATATAGACAGTATACCTTCCAGGACAGCAAACCTGCAGTGTGTTAGAGGCTTTAAAACATGCTTATTACCTATCTGCTCATCAGCTCGGGTGCTGCTAATTCTCCTAAGGGAGCAATCACGGGTATGCTTAACCTGATCTACAAGGGAAACCACACAGCGCTCTCCACATGGCAAACATTTAAAACAACCCAAACAGACAACAACAACATAGTTTAAATTTTTTTACAATGGAATATTATTGCATTATGAAATACAAATTAAAATGCCTGAAGATGCAGAAAGATGCATATCTATGTTGTTTTTTTTATTTCTTTATTTTTATTTTATGTGAATGAGTGTATGCCTGCATGTATTTAAATGCACTGGTGTTGTGCAGTGCCCGAGGAGGACAGAAGAGGGCGTTGGATCCCCTGGAATTGGAGTTTTGGAAGGTTGTTAGCTATCATGTGGGTGCTAGGATTCAAACCCAGGTCTTATGCAAGAGCAGCCAGTGCTCTTAACTGCTGAACCATCTCTCCAGCCCCTATTTTTATAAATTTATTTATATTTGTTTTGTGTGTGTGTGTGTGTGTGTGTGTGTGTGTGTGTGTATGTACGTGCATGCCTGCCATGGTGCATGTGGAGGCCAACTTTGTGGAGTCAGCTCTCTGCTTCCATCTTGGGCTTGCGTTTCAGAGACTGAGCTCAGGTAGTCAGGCTCACACAGCACATTCTATCGTCTGAGCCATCTCACCAGCCTCAACCCTCTGCATTATTAATTGAAAAAATCACTTTGCAAAATAGCAAAAATTAGAATCTCAGTTTTTAGGAATTATTTATTTTTGAGGTGGGACCACATCTGGCTTTGAATTCTCTATGTAGCTTTATTTTGCTTTGAATTCACTAGCTAGATGAGGCTGATATTGAATTCATTACCTAGATCAGCCTGACCTTGAACCCATGATCCTCCAATTCTTCCCAAGTGCTGAGATTACAGGTGTGTACCACTACACCCAGCATCCAATTTTATATTTATTTATTTATTTATATTTATTTTGGTCTTTTTGAGACAGGGTCTCCTGGTAGCCACAGCTAGCCTGGAACTCACTATATAGACCAGGCTGGCCTAGATCTCATAGAGATCTACCTGCCTCTGCCTCCTGAGTGCCAATTTTATTTTTTGAAACTGCTGCTCATCCACCAGAAAATGGCTATCTTTGCTGTCCTTGCTTTTTAACGCTCATATTTTTCTAAAAGAGTAATAAGCATAATTTGCAAAATAAATGAAAACATTTTTAAAAAGGATCTAGAAGTAATAAATAGAAAAAGGTAAAGACCAAGAAAAGTAAAGCTGAGCCTCACACTATCTTCCGAGGATAGGGAGGCTGTGTCCTAAAGGGAGATTTCCTTAAGTATGGGTTATTTCGCTAGACTAGGGAGGCATACAAGAAATATCAATTTGCCCTGACACTGGGAAATCTGATAAGCCAGGTCAGTGCTCAGGGAAGGGACACATAGGGCTTGAACAGTGTTTCAAAGGCAGCATTCAAAGAATGTGAAGGCATAGGAGGTGCTGAAAGGGCACAGTCACTGCAACATCGCCACATACCCGAGATCCCTCTTCTCCTCCCAGTGGCCGGCTTGTCACCTAATCCCCTGGGTGAGGGATGTTTATGAAAAATTCAATGCATTTCTGAGTCCTGGACCAGAAATGTGTGAAAATTGCTAGGCTTGGGCTCAAGAAACAGAAGTTTTACATTTTTATTTACTTATTGGTGTGTGTGTGTGTGTGTGTATGTGTGTGTGTGTGTGTGTGTGTGTGTGTCTGCACGAGTGTGTGAGAGTGTACGTGTGTATACATCATGTGCCACGGCACAAATGTGGGGGTCAGAGGACAACTTCGTGGAGTTGGTTTTCTCTTTCCATTTTCACATGGGTCCCAGGGATCAAACTCAAGTTTCCAAGCTGTGTAGCAAACACCTTTACCCTCTGAGACATCTTGCCAACCCTCCCCCCACAAGCAGGATTTAAATTTTTCATTTGTTTTTATTTATGTGCATGTATGTGTGCCTGCTTGTCTGTGTATCACAGGCATAGAGGTGCCCAATGAGGTCCTAAGAGGGCTTTGAATTCCCTGGAACTGGAGTTATAGGTGGTTGTGAGTTGTACAGTGTGGCTGTTGGGAATCGAATCCTGGTCCTCTGCAAGAACATCAAATGCTTTTAAACACTGAGCTATTTCTACAGCCCAGAAACAGTATTTTTTAACAAGCTCCCAAGGGACTCTTAGCTGCCCCTACCAGCAGAGGCTAGTTAGGCAGAATGGGGCAGGCAGCAGGTGCAGGAAAAAGGATAGACTGTTTTCTTCCAGGAGGAATTGACTCAATTAAAAGTTTCTCTAGTCTTGACTGCAAATCTTCATCACCTGGGGGTGCTATTGATACTCCCGATGGGAGGCTATACCCTGGACCAATTACATCAGGCTCACTAGGGTAGAATCCAGGCATCAGTGTTTCTTTTAAAGTCCTCGTTGGATTCCAAACGTGTAGCTAAGTTTGAGAGCCACCACAGACAAGGCTAAAGATCGGGGATCTGCGTATCTGATGAGTTTCCACACCTTGGTACTCTACAGCCGCGTCAGACCTTAGAGACGGGCCTGGGAAGGAACGGAAGGGAAAGAGTTTAATCTTTTCCCACCTCCTGCTCCATTCCCATAGTGGACAGTTCTCCCAATCAATGACCACAGTCTTGGTGACTTCACATTACAGTCTCAACCCTGGGCTGGTAGCCTCAGGAAGTAGCTGAATCACCTTTTATTATCTTTTTTTGAGTATATTGCCTGGATGTGTGTAAATGCATCTATGTCATGCAATGCTCATGGAGGTCAGAAGAGGGTGTCAGATTCCCCTGGAACTGGAGTTACAGTTGGTTGTTAGTGCCATGTGGGTGCTGGGAACTGAACCTGGGTCCTCTGCAAGAGCAGCCAACTTCTTTTAACCACTGAGCCAGTTCTCCACCCCACGTCATTTTAATTTTATGTGATAGGTATTGGTTACAGCCTGAGAATTTTTTTTTTTTTAACATAAGCATTCTCATTCTTTGGTACTACCAAAGAATCCAAAATTGGTGGAGAAAAGGAAAAGTCAGCAATACCCAAATATCTTGGCCAGTGTGCTCTCAATTTTCTTGAAATCTGGTCGTTTCTCTGGTTCTTCCTCCCAACAGCTTTTGACAAGTAGATACACCTATAAGAAAGAAGCAATCGGTTAACTCAGGGGATGCTAAACTCAAGACAGAGTCTCATCCTAGTCTCCTCCCTCATGGAAGCAGTTAAGGCACGGAACATTTTACAAAGGTCTTTGATGCCCACAGTGAGGATGAGTCTCCCATTCTCTGCTTTTCAAATCTTATTCACTGCCACTTACATTACCTTATCTAGTCATTCCCGGGGCGGGGCAATTAATAAAAATGTAGTAACAGTTTGGATGGGGTTGGGCATATGGGGGGACGGATCAAATCCATTATGGGAACATGCAGTGTTTATATGTCAGGGAGAGTGTAAAAAAAAAAAGAAACATGACTCAGGGCCAATGATTCAGAAGGTAAAGGTGCTTGTCACCAAGCCGAAGGGCCTGAGTTCTGTCCCTAGGACCCACATGGTGGAACAGAGGAGAAAACTGACACCTGCAAGTTGTTCTCTGACCTTCACATACAGGCTGTGGCATATCCATGCACATGCACACACATACACATACACAGAGAGAGAGAGAGAGAGAGAGAGAGAGAGAGAGAGTCAATAAACAGGCACACAAATTTACCAAAATTTTTTTAAAATAATGTGGCTCCATAGATAAAAGGCAAGTGGCTCTCCACAGGAACAGAAGTTGACGGTCCATGGTTCTCAACTGCAGCCCAGTCACCTGGGGAACATGCATGGAATTTCTTATGCCCAGGCCTGATCACAAGGGATTCTGATTTAACTGACCTGTGAGCATATTATGGTCCAAATTTTGCATGGGCAAAAGACAGTTGTAAATATATTTTTAAGTTCCCCACGTGACTGCAGTGCATGGGTGTGGTGGAGAAACAGCGCAAAGAAAAGGGAAGTGTGAAGGAAGAGGAGAGGGAGGGAAGCCAGTGGGACCCTCGTTTAATCTGCCACATCTGCGACTTTTGCTTGATCAAAAATGGTTCTCAACTGCAGCCCAGTCACCTGGGGAACATGCATGGAATTTCTTATGCCCAGGCCTGATCACAAGGGATTCTGATTTAACTGACCTGTGAGCATATTATGTTCCAAATTTTGCATGGGCAAAAGACAGTTGTAAATATATTTTAAGTTCCCCACGTGACTGCAGTGCACGGGTGTGGTGGAGAAACAGCGCAAAGAAAAGGGAAGTGTGAAGGAAGAGGAGAGGGAGGGAAGCCAGTGGGACCCTCGTTTAATCTGCCACATCTGCGACTTTTGCTTGATCAAAAAGGGAAGTGACAACCATCTGTTTAAATAAAGTTTTCTCTCCACTCTGGTTGAAAACATGCTGATAAGTGGTACAGCATGTAACGTCTGTCCTTGGATTTTGCCTGAACAATTCCTGGGAAGGGACTAGAATCATAGCTGCCTCTAGCTGCTTAGCCTCACCTCTGGGGGAAGTCCCTGCCTTAGCATGAGACCTGCACACTCCCTTGCAGTGAAATAGAAGCAACCAACCAACAGGCCTCACACCTCTGAGAAGCAAAAAGTGGAGTGCTTGATGAGCATTGCTGGGGCATCTAGTTTCAGGCTGAGGCCTGCTGCTAGGTTTGAAATGTTTACTTCATTTCTAGTTCTAGAACCTTCCAACTACAGAAATGCATTGGGGCTAATGCTTTGACGAAAAGGGTTTTAATCATCAGTATATACGGCCAGCACTCTCTGTCCATATCTATGGGCTCTGCTTCCCATCTGCAGGTCCAACTAACTATAGGTTGAACATATTCAGAGAGATAAAAAATGGGTCTCTACTGAACATATCCAATATAATGTCACAATGGTTTTTTCATAGAATTTCCATTGTAGGCATTATAAGTAATATAGAAATGGTTTACTGCATACAGGAAGTTGCATTTAGGTTCTGTGCAAATGTTACACCATCTGATTGTAAAGGCTCTAGCATACAAGGACTTTTGTGTCTGTAGGCTCCTGGAAGCAATCCCTTCTTACTGAGGGATGACTGAACCTCAGACTAGAAAGGATGTGCTGATGTGTGGGAAGGAATCCAGGGAAACAGGAGGCAGGGAAGTGATGACAGGAGGTAGTGATGGGTGCACCTGTACCCCGAATCTCAGAATCCTGAGCTACATTGTTCCCTTCCTCCCTCCCTTCTTCCTTCCCTCCATTCCTTTCTCCCCTTTGGCTCTTTCCTCCTCCTCCTCCTCCTCCTCCTCCCCCTCCCCCCCCTCCTTCTTCTTTTCCTCTAATATCCATCCTCCCCCTCCCCCTCCTCCTCCTTATGCTCCTCCTCCTCCTCATGCTCCTCCTCCTCTCCTCCTCCTCCTGCTCCTCTCTTCTTCCTCCTCCTTCTTTTCTCCCTCTCTTTCTCTCCCTCTCTTTCTTTGTCATTCCTGTTTCTGTTTTAAACCAGGTCTCACTATATAACTCAGGCTTGCCTCAGACTTACAGTACTCCTGCCCTAGCCTCTTCAGGGTTGGGATCACAGACATGACCTACAATGCTCAGCTTTTAAAGCCTTTTTGAAGGGTCGTTTAAAAGTTAGGCAAAATACAGACAGAAAAAACTCCATTTCTTTCAGAAGAAAGTTAAAAATAGCCATGCGTTGTGTTTTTAGATGTTTGTGGGAATGACTTTTAAAAGCAATATGGGAGCACACTGGACAAATGAATTTTATCTAACCTCACAACCAAAAAGTCAACCTTATCTTAGTTTATTTATAATGCAGACAAGCTCGCTGAGCCATGTGTTCCTGCTATGACCTGGGTATACGGCCTTAGTCCCTCACGACCCTTCCTTGCCTAGACCTAGAATAATATATGCATGGGTGTATGTATATGGTGAATATAAAAAATGCTACAAGCTGTGATTATTCTTTGGAAGCAACAAAGATGTGAAGATTATCCCATTTGTGTTGCAAACAACAGGTGGGATTCAATCCATAATGTTTGTTTATGGTTGGGTGTGTTGGTCTAGGTCTAAGGATCAGAAAGGCAAAATTCTCTGTTAAGATGAGGTCCAACTTTACATCCCCATTTTATGCTGGGTATACTCTTTTCAATAAAACAAAGCACAATTCTGAGATAAATCTGAAGGAACAGGTTCTCGGCAGTTCAGGTCCACTCTTAGCCGAAAAATGGATGCTAAGAGTCAGATTTTTTCCTATGAAGGCATAACTGTAAAGTGGTGCTATGCAGTGAGTGCCTCGATGTTGGCATATTTCCTTATGGTTTTGTTTTTTATTTTCTTTGTTGTTTGTGTTTTGAGACAAGATCTCATGTATGCCAGTCTGGCCTCTAATTCACTATGTAGCTGAGAATGATCTTGAACTTCGGATTCTCCTGTCTCTACCTTCCAAGAGCTGGGATTGCAGGCATGTGCTTCCATACCCAGCTTACTATGTGTTTTTCAAGCTTTGTTTTGAGACAAGGTCTCCCAGTAGCCCCAGCTGGCCTGGAACTCACTATGTAGACCAGGCTGGTCTCAAACTCACAGAGATCCACCTGCCTCTGCCTCTTGAGTGCTGGGATTAAAGGCTTACACTGTCACACCTGGCTCTTTTTTCAAGCTTTTAAAAATATTTTATTTATTTTTATTTTATGTGTATGAGCGTATTGCCTGCATGTATATAAGTGCACCTGTGTTATGCAGTGCCCATGGAGGTGAGAGGGTATTGGATCCCCTGGAACTGGAATTATAGATGGTTATTAGCCACTATGTGGGTGCTGAGAATTGAACTCAACATGATTAAGAGCCAGTGCTCTTAATCACTGAGCCATCTCTCCAGCTCCCCAGAGTAGTAAATTTTTAAGTAGAATTCTATTTTTGTTACATTCTAAGTAGAATTCTATTTTATTTATTTGTGTGTGTGTGTGTGTGTGTGTGTGTGTGTGGTGTGTGTGTGCACCGTGGCATGTGTGGAGGTCAGAGGACAAGTTGTAGGAGTCAGTTCTCGCCTCCTACCACGTGGGATCCAGAGATCAAACTTCAGTCCTCAGGCCTGGCAGTAGGTACCTTTCCACATGAATCATTTCGCTGGCTCTTAAGTATAATTTTAAAATTCAAAATACATTTAAAGTTCTTTCAGTTTATAAAGAACTAGTACTACCTATCAAATCAGATTATACACGAAAGGACAACCCTTAGCTTGTTATCTGTATATGTGGTGGTTTGAATGAGAATGTCCCCCATAGGCTACAAGTATTTGGATATTTTTGGCCCCAGTTGGTGGTGCTGTTTTGAAAGGCTTTAGGAGGTGTGGCCAAGTGGGAAGAAGCAAGTTGCTGGGGGTGGTCTGTGAGAGTTCTTAAGCTTTGCCAGATTTCCTGTCCCTCTCTGCTTCCTGTGCCTGCTGGAAGATGTGAGTGCTCAGCTTTCTGCTCTGGTCACCTTTGCCACCATGCCTCCCCACCACTATGGACTCTAATCCCTCTATAATTCGAAGCTCAAATAAGCTCTCCCTTCTATAAATTGCCTTGGTCATGGTGTTTTATCACAGCAACAGAAAAGTAACTAATACACAGTGCAAAAGAGGGGTTTGTAGCTGTTGTTGTTTGTTTTGAGACATGGTCTCATGTAGCCCGTTAGACTCCAACACATGATGCCTTGGTCATGGTGTTTTATCACAGCAACAGAAAAGTAACTAATACACACTGCAAAAGAGGGGTTGTAGCTGTTGTTGTTTGAGACATGGTCTCATGTAGCCCGTTAGACTCCAACACATGGTATTTCTCCGTCTACTTTGTAAGTGCTGGAATTATAGACATATACCACCATACCTAACTCTTATGTCTTTTAAGATCAATAGAAGTACTGCTAAGTATCACAGCAACAGAAAAGTAACTAATACACACTGCAAAAGAGGGGTTGTAGCTGTTGTTGTTTGAGACATGGTCTCATGTAGCCCGTTAGACTCCAACACATGGTATTTCTCCGTCTACTTTGTAAGTGCTGGAATTATAGACATATACCACCATACCTAACTCTTATGTCTTTTAAGATCAATAGAAGTACTGATAAGCCTAAATAGAAGTACTGCTAAACCTAATAAATATATTACACACCCCTTGTTCTTTTTGCTCATAAATGTATAGAACAGCTGGGGCTACAGGGAGACCCTGTCTCAAAAAGACCAAAAAAAGTATAGAATGTGAAGTGTGCCTTAACAGTTAGCTGTTTCCTGAGCTGGGGGAGGAGGAAAAGGACATTGGGTAAGGAAGACTGACAGCATACCCTGAAGGTAAGTTTGT